GCGAGGTTGGAGACTAACCTATTCTCTCTCTCTCTCTCTCTCTCTCTCTCTCTCTCTCTCTCTCTCTCTCTCTCTCTCTCTCTCTCTCTCTCTGTGTGTGTCCAATACTAACCTGTGAAGTTGGTGCCTTGATGCAGGTACCTCGCAGAGGGAGCTGGAGCGATGGCGCCGCAGGTAAGTACCTCTGGCCTCCGCCAGTGTCTCTCCCAACTCTACGATCTACCACCTACCATAGCGCCCAGCGCTGAAGACTACAGCTATGGCTATGGGCGCCCAGCGCCGAAGACTACTACTAGCGCTAACTACTGCCTAGCGCTGAAGACTACTGCAGGGCTCCTCCTGAGTGCTGCGGCCGAATCTTGAAGACTACCCGTGCCTACTGACAACTACCTACCCGTGAAGTGCATGGGACTATCCTATGTACTACTCGGGTGTGCCTCCTGACTGCAGGCGAGCAGTCCAGGAGGCTGCTCTTGCCAATGCCGAAGGGAGGCAGGGGCTGCAGCTGCAGCTCCTGCTCGAGCTGGCGTGGGGAACAGGCTATTTCTGGCCTGTTCCCGAAACCCTGTTTCCGTGCCTGAGTCTTAGGTAGGTCGAACACAATGAGGGCCTGAAAATGGCCCTCCGTTTCAGGCTGAAAAGCCTCTGGGCCTGAAAGGCCCAGAAATAGGTTGAAACGGAATAGGGCCTGCAGGCCCTCGTATTTCAGCTTTCAGGCTGAAAGGACCGGGGCCTGTAAGCCCTAAGTTTTAGGCTTTTAGGCTGAAAGTGCGGGACGGGCCCTGCAAGGCCCGTGTGGCTACGCAGTATGCCACACCCCACCAGTGACTAGACCCCCCCAGTCTGATAGTTGTGTAGTTCGTAATCTATGTGTGTATCCGAAGACTGTATGCTTCGTGTATCTGTGTATCAAGATGTGCAGACAGCACCATATGTGAAAACTTGTGTATGTAGCCCGTAGGCCATGTATAATTCACAATCAATGTATCAAGATGTATAGGTAGCATCATGTGTGTATATCGAAGAGAGAACGGGTAAGCTGGACAAGGACCCCCCCAAGGTCCGAACCAAGCTCGAACCTGTGACCTTGTAATGTGCAATCGAACTCGAACCCGTGACCTTGTAACGTGTAATCGAATGACTCTACCATGTAATCGAATGACTCTACCATGTGAACGACTAGCGGAAATGGCACGAAAGTGTGATATGCCAGATTGGGGAGATCAACAGAACACCCAAGACCAACAACCCCAAGCAACCCGTGTGAAACCCAGAACCAACATACAACACCATGAACAACCCTTGGGTGGTTCGCAGGCAGTGTCTGTAATAGCTTACCTGCATCATCCCAAGGGGTGTGTGTCCAGCCGTGCGTCATTCTAACGCCCTGCCGGTGTCCATGCGCAAGGCTGCGGATTTGAACCCGCAACCTCATACCACAATGCGCATTTCCAACCGGTGCTCTGCTCTAACCACTGAGCTATATCAACTGGACGGCGTCCGTCTTCTTATCAGTACTTTCAGGTTCCGCTATCACTCGATTTTGCTGACGTGGATCGGTGAGCATCACACTGCAGGGGCTTCTTCATGGAGGGCGGAGAGGCATCCGTATACAGCGCAACGCAGATTGGGGGAGTGGGTTACCCTAAATCGTGAGGAGGCAGGTGGGTTTGCAGGGCCTCGGCCCCTGCGCGCGGGTGGTAGGGTAATTCTACCGGCTTGCAACAACAGCATCATGGTGGGAGTTGCTGTTTTTGGTGAATGGTGCATAAGGGGTTAATTGGTGGTGCAATCCGCTCTGAATCGCGAGGACGTGGCACTGGGTGGGTTTTGCGGGGTCTGTAACTGCGGCTGGGGGTCTGTAGGCACAGTCCCCTGCCGCGCGGGTGGCGGGGCGGTTTGCAGTTTTGCAGGGTTGGCTACAGTTGTGGATGAATAGGGGACCGTTTCTGTTTTTCTTTTTTTCTTTTTTTTTCTATATTCTGGTTCGGCTTTCTGAGTAGGCACTGTGCAACCTTTGGTCCAATTCTTTGTTGTTCTGCCTGAGACCGGCCAGAGTTGCCGGGGGCTCGCACTGTGACCACCTTTCTCTGTAAGGCACGCTGGGCCCGTTTCCGGGCTTTGTAAAATAAATGAAATCCCCGCCCCTAAAAAGAAAGAAAAGAAAAAAAAGATATCTCAACTGCAGTGCCTTTCTTTTTTTTGTTTTTTTGGACATCATTATATCCTGAAACGGAGGAACTCTGACAGCTGTGTTTGGCTCTCTGGCATTAAACTGGTTTCCTTCTTTGGGCAATGAAACCATTTGGCCATCCACGTTGTCCCTGTCCATTTTACAAATGGTGACCTCCTGTCCCCTCAGAACGGGGAGTATCCCTTTTCCACAGAGACATGCCCTCCAACTGCGTTTTATTTCAGCGTCACCTTATCAAAAATAAGGAGAAAAACCCAAGAGCCTAGCTCCGTGGGTACACCATCGAACTGTTGAAATACAGACCCGTGTTCGAACCCAGATGAAGGAACTTGTTTGACCAGTAAAACCAAATAATTCTGAATTGCCTGGGGCATGATATCTCATGGCCGTCGTCCTTTAAAAAAAACAAAAAAAAAAAAAAAAAAAAACAAAGGAGAAAAGCTGTTTCTTTCTAGCATTTTTTTTTTCCAGTTTTTTTATTTCTTGTTTCGAATTTGTGAATGTCGAAATGGTGTCACACCGTTGCATTTTCTAAACTCATCTTGGGCGGTGGGACCTCACCCCTGTGGGCAAGGAAGAGTTAGACGGACATCCATTTTTCACGGAAAAAAGTATTTTGTACCTCTGCCAGTGTTGGGAAATTACAAGTTTTAGCCTGTTCCCGAAGAATTCGGGGGTGGGACTTAGGGTCGGCAAGTCCCACACATCTCAGTTTTCTTTTGCCTGCGCGTGAAAGGAAAAGGGAAAAAAAAAAAAAAGCTTTCTGTACTGCAATGATGTCCGGCAGGGTAGTCTAGGAGACAGTCTTCCTCTACAGAATGCATCTTACTGCAAAAACGGCCACATTCCTTTTCTTTCTTTCTCCTTTGTTTGTTACGAGTCCCCTGGGGCGTGGTCCCACTAGCAAAGAGGATCGGATAGAACGACTGCATCTGGAGGTGTTTGTCAAGAGGTGCAGGAAATCGAGATTGAACTGCTTTTCTGCATCTCTGCATAAAACACATCCAGATTCAGGCATTCTATCCGATCCTCTTGGCTAGTGGGACCTCGGCCCTGGGGTTGGGACCCACTACGCAAGATTAACAACGGGGCTGTTTGGTTTCCAACCACGTGCAGCCGTCGGTGACAAAACCCTATCGCGGATGAAGGAGGGCATCAAAGTAGCGGGCAGATTGTGTTCGTTTTCGTGGAGGGGCCAGGCCTTCGG